ATCCTCAGTGCCAAAAATTAATAGTATATTTTTTGAAGTCAAGTCTAGAATCGTGTCACTCAATGGTAGCACACAGAAGCCCTGGATTCAATCCCTAGTACCAAAAACAAGTAAATGAAAATCTAACCTTTCACTTGGACTCAGGGATTGTACTTAATGAGGTCCTAGATCAGCAATAGCGAACTTTTCAGAGCTGTCAGTGAGACAGACAGCCCACTATACCATGTTTCCCATAGGTTTGTCACCACTTTCCTAGATAGTAATGATGATTTTTTGTTTTTGTTGGTAAAAGAGAGGATCTTACTTTGTAGTGCAAGGTGGCCTTAAACTCACTATGTAGTCCAGGTTGACGTCAAATTCAGTTCTCCTGCTTCAGCCTCCTGAGTGCTGTGTCACAGGTGTGTTCCAGCATGCCCAGCTCTAGTGATGATTATTTCATGGTACAAACATTTACTGAGTTCTTACTCTGTGAGGAAATAGGCGCTCAGATAGTGAATTGTGTCTGTACTTAGTGCACACAGTTTGTGCCTTTTTGTATTTTTTTTTTTTTTGCAGTGCTAGGGGAAGGGCCTAGGGCCTCATGCTTGTTGAGCAGGTGCTCTACCTCTGGGTTACACCCCCAGTGCTCTTTCAGCTATTAAATTAAATACCAGAAAGGCTTCCTGGAGACATAGTTGTACCATTAGGGAAACAGCCCAAGAGCTTGAGGTGTAACTCAGTGGTTGTGTGTGAGCTTAGCATGCTAAGTTCCATCCCCAGCAAACAACCTAATGTGCCCATACACACGTACAGGAAAACAGAAAGAAAAAATAGAGCACAGACCTTGTTCTGGCTCCCAGCAAGCCGGGGGTAAGTGGGCAGTGTACCTTATCCCAGCCTTCAGGCTATCCCGTCTGTGGTAGTTCATGCTATATAGGCTTCTCTTCCTCCCACCCAGGTAACGTGAAGCACCTGATTCTCTTCCTGCACGAGGCCGTCCTGGTGCAGTATGTGGACACGCTCAAGCTTGCTGTTCCTTCTCTCATTTACACCTTGCAGAATAACCTCCAGTATGTTGCCATCTCCAACCTGCCAGCTGCTACCTTCCAGGTGAGCCCCAAGCCCAGCGTGGCCCCAGGGGAGCTGCCTAGCTTGGGGTATGTTACATGTGGAGGAAGGGCACTGCCAGGAGCTGTTACTTTTAAAATATCCCTGGAACTCCTTTAACCTTGGTTTTCTCATTTGTGAGAACTGCCAATAGAAGCAGTAATGCCTGTTTAGGAGGGATGCTAGGATGATTGAAAGAGACACCAACAAAGAGTCCTTAGTTGGCCATCAGTAAGATTGACCTTATTCCTGGGCAGCTGTGTGAAATGGTTAAAGAGCCTGAATGCAGGGGTTGGATTGCTGATTTCAATCTCAGCTGTGCACTTTTTCAGTTGTGTGATTTTGGGGCAAGTCTCCTAACCATTCTGTGTCTTAGTTTACTCTGTCTCTCTGTATTTATCTGACTAAATAATTTTGTAGTACCAGTACTAGGAATTGAACTCAGGGCCTTGTGTATGCTAGTCAGGCACTGAACTGCATCCCAGCCCTTATTGTTTTTAAGAAAGGGTCTTATCACTTTAGCTAGTCTCATCTTGACCTGACTCAGCCTCTTGAGTAACTGAAATTACAGGCATGTACCACTACTCTTGGCATGGTTTATTCATCTTTAAATTGGAGATTATTGCTGAATATGATGGCAAACACTTGTAATCCTAGCACCCAGGAGGCTGAGGTAGGAAGATACAAGTTTGAGGTCGGCCTGAACTTCATAGTGAGACCCTGTCTCAAAAAACAAAAAAATAAAAATAAATAAATTGGGGATTATTGTGGTTTCCTCTTCCTGTGGTGGTTGTGAGGATTAAATAAACTAGGTCACATACAGTGCTCAGATATATAGTAGCACATAGTGAGTGCTATGTAAATATTTGTTGGCTTTATTGTTGTGGTTTCTTCATGATCTTTTTTTTTTGGTACCAGGGATCAAATTCATGACTTAATGCTTGGCAGGCAGGCACTTAATGCCGCTGAGCTACATCCCCGGCCCTGATTCATTATGTTCTGAAAGGCATTTTACATACATCAGCCTACCAGCCTCACTTTACAGATGACAATGCCAGGGCTCAGCCTGGCCTTGTCCCTAGTCACAGGAGGAAATGGAATTGAGATGTGGCTTGGAATTTCCTAGCACAGCCACTCTTATGTGTACTCTCTGGAAGGGTCTTTAGAGGCACATAGTCCCAATTTAGCCAGTGGCCAATGACTGGCTATTTTTGCTGGTTTTATTGTCATCTATCCCATCCCCCTTCCTCCATTGTGCCTAGGACCACAGTGGGTACTATCCCAGTGTGTATTGCTGGGGTCCGAGGGGCCTCAGTGTTTTGCATATGTGCCTGCAGGTGACATACCAGCTGAAGATCCTGACCACAGCACTGTTCTCTGTGCTCATGCTGAACCGCAGCCTTTCCCGGCTACAGTGGGCCTCCCTGCTGCTCCTCTTCACTGGTGTCGCCATCGTTCAGGCACAGCAAGCTGGTGGTGGCAGCCCACGGCCACTGGATCAGAACCCCGGAGCAGGCCTAGCAGCTGTTGTGGCCTCCTGCCTCTCCTCAGGCTTTGCGGGTGTCTACTTTGAGAAGATCCTCAAAGGCAGCTCAGGCTCTGTGTGGCTGCGCAACCTGCAACTGGGCCTTTTTGGGACGGCCCTAGGCCTGGTGGGGCTCTGGTGGGCTGAGGGCACTGCTGTGGCCCACCGTGGCTTCTTCTTTGGGTACACGCCTGCTGTCTGGGGTGTGGTACTCAACCAGGCCTTTGGGGGGCTACTGGTGGCTGTTGTTGTCAAATATGCTGACAACATCCTCAAGGGCTTTGCCACCTCCCTGTCCATTGTGCTCTCCACTGTGGCCTCTATTCGCCTTTTTGGCTTCCACCTGGACCCACTGTTTGCCCTTGGCGCTGGGCTTGTCATCGGTGCTGTCTACCTCTACAGCCTTCCCCGAAGTGCAAAAGCCATAGCTTCTGCTTCTGCCTCTGCTGCTGCCTCCGGGCCCTGCATTCACCAACAGCCTCCAGGGCAGCCACCACCACCGCAGCTGTCCTCCCACCGTGGAGACCTCGTCACGGAGCCCTTTCTGCCAAAGTCAGTTCTGGTAAAGTGAGGGCTGGTGGCAGTGGGGGGAGACAGGGTGGGGGATGGGGAGGAGGGTGTTGGGCACCTGCAGGACCTGAGTCATCGCTGAGACCTAGCTCCTCTGGGATTGGAAGATGGTCTTTTCTTCCAGGTCACTGAGACTTCTGGAGGGGTGTGGGACCAGGGCTGGAAAGACTGAACTCCTTTCCCTGGAGACGGGTTTTAGAACTGCTTCCTCTGCCAGAGTCTAACCTCTTTGGGGATAGGGTTAGGGGTATTGATTCAAGGCCTTTATCTGTACGCTCCCTGTGTGGGAGGTATCCTGTCTCTAATGCCTGGGACGGTCCCTCCCAGCTATCCTTCCACTTTGGTAAGGACAGACTGAACAGAAGTCTGCTGCTTGTCAGTAATGACTGATTCCTCCTTGTGGGGTTCAGCTTCCTAGCATTTGAGGCCTTCTCTTCCCTTCCCACTACTCTGGGTCACGTTAGCAGTTCAGTCTCGTTTGCAGCCTTGGGGCAGCTGCCCTTCCACAGGCCTTTGAAGCAGGGCCCTTGAAACTGAGGCTGTAGAGAGCACTTGAGGGGAGGAAGAGGTTCAAGCTGAGTTTCTGTCCGCCCTTCTGGGGGAGGGTGCAGTAGGGACCATTTTCATTTTGGTGGTTTGGGGGTTTGTGATGTAATCAGGTCACTGATGATCCAGCGTGTGGGGGAAATGGGGAGGGGATGGTTCTTGAAGTGACTGAATCTCATTCAGTTTAAGACACTGGTAGTTGCCAGATGCAGGGTTAGAGATATCCAGAGAGGAAAAATAAAGCTGCCAGTCACACTCTTGCTATCCTAGCTGGCTGTTTGAGGCATCCTTACTTCATGAAGAGGTGGTATCTTAAGAGTTGATGAATGGGGCTGGGGATTTAGCTCAGCGGCATAAGCACCTGCCTTGCAAGCAGGCGGTCGTGAGTTCGATCCTCGGTACTGATAAAAATGAAAAAGACAAAAAAAAAAAAAAAAAAAAAAGAGTTGATGAACGATGGAACCTATCCCCTGCACTCCCCAAAGCTTACTAACCCTTAACTGTGTCCCAGGGTGTGTGTGTGGGTGTGTGTGTGTGTGTGTGTGTGTGTGCGTGCGTGCGCGCGCGCACACACACGCACACACGTGCGAATGCCCGAGTGTGTGCACGTGTCTGTGTGTGCATGGGAGATGGCTGGACTGTCTTTGCTACATGTAAATAGGGCCATTCGATCTTTATTTTTGATTAATTTGTTCTGATTATTTGGTTGGTTTTCTAAGGAACTGTAATGAACAAATGTCAGGATACCCAATGCCAAATAAAGATGTTGTATTTATGTAGTCCACGTGTAGCTTTCTGACCCTGGGGCCGCGTTCTCCACATAAAGCACCGCTACTAACCCAGAACTACCATCCTTACTACCACTGCCCTCACTTGCTCAGAAAGCCCTCCTGCCAGCCTACCCCAGCTCTGTGTTTCTCTTTCCTCCCATTCCCACCACAGGTTGCTCACCAAGGTGAAGGGTTCGTAGTCGCCGGGAATGAAGATGTTGGCTTGGCCTCGTTCTCCTTTCTTGCCCTGGCCCAGCTGAGACCAAACCCTTTGATCAGTATTAGGGGGAGAGGGAGATAGAGGAATTCTTTGTCCCCACTACTCCCACCCTCATGAAGGCCTGAACTGTCTAAGCTCTGTTCATGATCCACATCAACTCTAAGCCCTTGCTACCCCTAACTATATCCTTAGGTGAGTTTTTGCAAATAAAATGTGTTTTACATCTTGCCAGCTTGGGTTGGGAAGCACAGAAGGAGCAAGAGAAGCACTCAAGCCTTGTGGATATGATCACAGGAACGCTTTTATTATAAACACCACTAAGCTGGCTTAGTGGTGGAGTACTTGCATGCATGAAGCCTTGGTTCCCATCCCAGCACTGCAAAAAGGAGGGAAACAAAAGGAAGCAAGAGAAAAAGAAAGTCTCCAGGGCTCAGGAGAGCGAAGGTTCAGTCCTTCAGTCTTGCTGTTTGGTTCGAGAGGCTTCAGCATTAGCCCGCAGCACAGCCCCTGGCGATGGGTACGGACGCTGCTGGAAGAGGGGCCCTGCTGCTGTAGTGTCAGCACCTGTCTTGGCTTCATTCCGCTTGGGGAGTCCTGTTGACCAAGTGCCCCTGGGGTTGACAGAGAGTCAGGGTGTGAGAAGGGGGTATGTGGGCACCCCTCAACCAGCCAAGACTCAGGAACAGACGAAGGAGGTGGCAAGGAGAAAGGCAGTGTTCTCAGGTACGGTGAGTCAGGAGGAAAGAAAAGGGTTCGTGGGAGGTCGTCACCTACCGGGGGGCATCTGAATACGAGCTGGGGTCCATGGGGTCTAGCTCTTCATCCTTTCGGCTTGCCACTGTGGAAGTAAGTGGCAGGGCAATTTCCTCAATCAAGGCGCAAGCAAGGAGCCCCTGATCCCTGAGCACCCCATCCCAGGGAGACATGGAGACTGCAGCTGCTGTGGCTGGCAGCATCTTTCTCCGGGAGTCAGATTTGGGCAGGATCCTGTGAGAAGTCCTCCCATCCATGCCCCAGTGCCTTACCTGCCTCCCCGGACCGCAGCTTGCCCTGCTTACCCTTCTTGCTCTTGGGGTAGGGAGCCAGCTCCTCGCGGCGATGGTGGCGTCGTTCTTTTCCTTCTTCTCGGTCTATCTTGTCATACCCACGATCACGATCCCTGTCCCTGTCCCGCTCTCGCTCTCTGTCCACTTTGTCATAACCACGTTCTCGATCTCTGTCAGACTTGTCATGGTTCCGGTCTGACTTGTCGTGATTGCGGTCTGGCTTCTCGTGGCTGCGGTCAGACTTCTCATGGCCCCTGTCCAATTTCTCATGGCTCCGGTCCAACTTCTCCTCAGCATCTAGGGGGACAAGAAGGTCAAGAAATGACCAGAACCTAGCAGTTTAACAGTCTCATTAGGCTGGGCCTGGCCCTACCTGGTCTCACCTGCCCCTCCTAGAATTGACCTGACCCCTTTCTAAAACTGCTACAACAATTTGAGGCACCCTCATATCTGCTAACTTACCTGTATTATTGCTCCTGAGCTTCTTGGCAGATTTGGTAACGACGGAGTTGGGGTCATGTGGGGAGAGCCAGGATACGAGGTCTGTGTCTACATTCCAGTAGTAAGGAAGCCCGCTGTGGGGCAGTGGGAGGGAAGGAATATCAGCACAGATGGCCTCTCCTGGTATCAATTCGTGTCTTCTCAACCTCTGCCTTATACCTGCCCCATATTGGAACCCCCATATCTTCCCCTGTGCCCCCTATATATCCCACAGCTCAGGACAACACAGGAAGGGCAGAGGCAGAAGTCAGCTCCCTCTTGAGGTCCCCAGGCTCACCAGGAAGGGTCGAACACCTTGTACCAGCTTGGTGGCAGGCCCTCCAACCGAGTGGCCTCATAATCTACAGGATCATCATCATAGTCCTCAGCAATGATCTCTTCCTCTGGTTCTGGCAGAACAAGGAGGTCAGCAGTTAAGAAGCAGGAAAGTTTTCATTCTACAGTCAAGGTCATGAGAGACACTCAAATCCACACAAAACATGTATGGAAGACATACATATGCCAAGAATCATATGAAGTATTTCCCATATCCAGACCCATCTGCCTCAGCCTCCCATTGCTGAGGATACAGGTGTGTGCCACTATGTCTGGCCCTCACCATCAGTTTAAACTGTTAACCATAATATGTATGCCAGACACTGTAGGAGGCCCCAAAAATGTCAGCTGTTGATATGGTTGATGAAATCTATGTCACCACTATTAGGTCCATCACTAGACTACCTCTGAAACATGCTATCTTTGGTAAATAAACTATCAACACCTTGCACACAGGAGTCTGTGGGCTAGCTATACTTCCTATTAGATACCGTGTAGTCACCTCTATGCGTTGATTCACATCTACTTTAATTACTTTTAGGGACTAGGTCTATGTTGCTCAAGTGATCCCTCTGCATCAGCCTCCTGAGTAGCTAGCTGGCACTACAGGTGCGTGCCACCACCTTTGGTTTGATTTTTGGATTAAACACAGCATCAGATGTCACTGCTGAAGACGAAATATCAGTCCCCCGTCCACTGCTTAGCCCACTGCACAAATGGATGTCAGGAAATCAAACTGTTAACAGGGGCTGGGGATTTAGCTCAGCGGCATAAGCGCCTGCCTTGCAAGCAGGCAGTCGTGAGTTCGATCCCTGATGCCGATTAAAAAAAATGAAAAAAACTGTTAACTTATAATAACTGTCACCCCACTGCTTGGTGCACCCCCTATGCCAGCTATTAGTTGTCAGTAGCGACAATAAAATGCCTGTCAAGGCTGACACATTGTAGGCCCATCTGCTCTTAGTTATCTCACCGGGCTCCAGATGTTTAAGGATGCCTCTCTTGGCCAAGCGGGTCTGCAGCGCAACGGGGAGTGGCATTATCGATTAGCTCACCTACTAGGAACAGATGGACATACTGAAGATTAGAATCTGAATCCAGTATCAACTGCTTTCCCACCGCATGTACACGATCATCTGACCCCCATCTACCCAAATGCACCATTAGCTGGCTGCATGAAACGTATCTGCGAAAAGATGGAAGAGGCGCGACATAATCAACAACTTTCACCAACCCAGCTCTCCAAGCCTCAGGCTGCAGGGCCCAATTCTTCACGCAGGCCCAGGCTCCTCCCACCGCCGAAGGGGCCACGCGCACTCTAGAAATGGCCTCACTCAACGTCACTCAAAAAACGGCCCGATGGGAGGTACCAAAGCACTGGGGGTGGGGAAGCAGAATGCAGTACCTCCAGCTCTTAAACAAAAAAAACCCACCCCGGCATTACCGAAACAGTCGTGCGGGTTAAGGAAGCCTGTCAGGTCGGTCGCCTCTTTCTCGTTGCCACTATGATCGCCAGTTACTACAAGCGTGTTTTTCTTCCAAAACACGAAATGAGGCCCTCTTTCCGGGAGCGTTGTGACTAGGCGACACTAGGGCTGCAGTGAATCGATGACGCAAGCCTGGCTAACCAATAAGAATGCGCCCTTGGTCTGACGCTACAAAACGACCCAATTGTTTTTCTGGAATCAGTAGAAAGCTTGCGCGCCCGTGTGCGTTACACTGGGGGCGTGGCCCAGCTGAGTTCCGCTGACTGCGCGGCTAAGCGCCGGCGCCATGGAGGAGTACGCTCGAGAGCCTTGGTACGACGGTGGGCACAGGCATCCGGACGGTTGCTGTGGCGCCCAGGCCAGCTATGGGAGGCGGGCGGGGGAGGCACCGGCCACACAATGCACGTCCCGGCCTCGGGATACTTAGAAACGTAACTTCTTCCGCTCCCAACTGGCTCCTCCCACTTGGTCGCCTTTAAGAAGGTCCTTAGTTGTGTGCCCGAGAAGGTGCGGTACCTGGCAAACCACCTTGCGTTTACCCTGAGTTCGAGCCTCCTCGTCCAGCTTCGTTAACGTAGAGAAGCGTTGGCCAAATCCACGCTCGCGGTGGGGGGAAAGGCGGCTGACTAGAAACCCGTAGGGTTACCACGCGGGTTTTTTTCCCAGGTCGCTTCTGTGAATCGGGGCGGGGCACGGATGAGCTATTGTGGACAAGGAGAGGGTCCCGAGCACTCGGGAGCTTGGTTTTTCCCTCTCCTAGGTTTCAAAGGTCAAGAAGGAGGAACTTAGTTGGACGCACTCATTGTGGAAAACGGGGTACCATTCTATCTTGTTTCTGTAGTAGTACTAGGTGATTAACGCTTCCTTCTGTCGCCGCTGTTGCAACGTGCCGACTCTGCGTCTATCAGTCTAGTTTGATCTTCGATATTAAAACAGATGCCTGATCTCTTTCTTGGGGTCAAGAGTAATATTTTCCCCTTTTGCTTCACTTCTCAATTTCATGAGGTTTAAAAAAGAGACAAGACTAGCTTGTTGTTATCATCTGAACCGTTTCTTCCCACTCTAACTTCCGTTGGAGTGACTTGATTTCTCCCGCTGGAAAGAGTCCAAACAGGACCTTGCGGGAAGGGGACTCACGTTAACCCCACCCTTCTCTTCCTGCTTTGCAGCCCGTGGCGAATTGTGGATGACTGCGGTGGAGCCTTCACGATGGGCGTGATCGGTGGCGGGGTCTTCCAGGCTATCAAGGGCTTCCGCAATGCTCCGGTTGTGAGTCCTGGGCTTATTCCCCAGTGATGTGGGGTCAGCAATGTTGCCTGCACAGAACACTGTTGGAAAACTGCTTGGAGCTGCCAGTCAGCATACACTGTTTTTCTGCTGTCTGCTCACCTACTGTGTATCAAGCCTGGCTCCCGGATCTGGGCTTTGGGGAAACTACACACAGGCCTCTGGCTTCCATCCACGCAGCTGTTGGAGTTGCTGTGCTGTCCCAACTTCACCCCACGGTCTGCAGATATAGCTCAGTGGTAGGGCACTTGCCTAATGAGCGTGATTGCAGGGCTCCATCCCCAGCACTGTAAATAAACAAATCAGTCATCTGGACTGGGGTTGTGTAGCTTCCTGGTAAGCACCTGCTTAGCATATTTGAGGACATATGTTCAATCCCCAGCACTGCAAAAAAAAAGAAGAAGAAAAAAGTCACCACAAAATTCTAAATGTGGGTACAAACCCAGATGAAAGTTTACCTAGAGCTAGATTCTGAGTTAGATAACATGGATATAGGGAAGTGATAGGAGAGGCAGCCTTAAAACTGAGAAAATCTTTTTAACATAATTTTCTCTGTGACCCTCAACCCCCAAAGATCACATCAAATGTACCTTTAACTGCCATTCATTTGCTAAGGTCTCTTCAGTTTTTCTTTCTTTCCTTTTTTTTTTTTTTTTTTTTTGGTACCTGGGATCGAACTCATGACCTCATGCTTGCCAGGCAGGTGCTTGTGCCACTGAGCTAAATCACCGGCCTAACAGGATTTTTCTTGACTCCACGTGGCTCAACGATGTATTCCTCCTGTCTCATGGAGTGCCTGTCTGAAGTCTCATTGATCTACTCAGAATCTGTCTCCCACCATAATGAGTCCAGAGTGGGCAGGGGTCAGATCTACCTTGTTCACTGCAGTGTCCCTGCATGTAGCATGGTGCTGGGCACATAATGGGTACCCCTCACTGAATGAATCATTTACTGAATGAATGGGCAAACAAGTTAATAAATTAGACTCAGCAACCCAACTCTAGGAACACCTGTGTTGGCATGTCCCCCAGGTCCCTAGTTGTTGGCTGCTGCTCTGCATTGAACAATTTACCATCCCTCTGTTTTGTTTTGGTTTTTTGGTACTGCGAATGGAACTCAGGGCCTCATACATGCGAGGCAAGCACTCTAGTACTAACCTATACCCCAGTCCCCCCACCTCCTTTTTGCAGTACTATGGATTGAACCCAGGACCTTTGTACTGGGCTACATCTCCAGTCACTTTTTAAATTTTTTGTTTGGTTTGCTTTGTTTTTTTTTTTTTGAGAAAGGGTCTTGCTAGTTCAGGCTGGCCTTGAATTTCTGAGAATCCTTCTGCTCAGCTTTTCCAAGTGCTGAGATTACAGGTGTGAGCCACTGCACCCAGCCTGACAACCTTTCTTACTTTTCCTAGGGAATTCAACACCGGTTGAGAGGGAGTGTTAATGCTGTGAGGATCCGAGCACCCCAGATTGGAGGTGAGGAGCTTGCGGGGAATAGAGGAGATGTTGTGGCTATGTTGGGAGTGATTGATCCTTTGGGACTAGACTGCGAGGCAGGGGGCCCACTTTCTAGCCAAGACTCTCTCAGGGACTTCCCAGGGTAGATGATCCTTTCCAACAATTTAATATGAAGGGACAAGGCTATGGATTCTGGAGTTTAAATCCAAGCCATGGCTCTTCTTTGTGGCGTGACTTCAGGTTAGTAGCGTGTCCTCTGTGAACTTGATGTGTACCATGATGATGACTACACTAATCTCATTGTTGATTTTTAGTTTACATGGTACTTACTAACTGCTAGTTGATATGTTAAGGCCTTTGATAATATTAACTAGTTTAAAATTGCAGGAGTCAAAAAAAAAGAATACCTCAAATAGATCCTGAGACATAGTACCCCTTGCTAAGCATTTTAACTATAGGCTGAGTACCCCTTACCAAAAATGCTGGAGACCAGAAGTATTTCCAAGAGTTTTGTGGATTTGGAAATGCTTGTATATGCAAAATAAGACATCTTGGGAATGCACCCAAGTTTAAAGATAAGATTCAGTTATATTTCAAATGCAACATATATAACCCAAAGATAATTTTATGTATTGTGTGTGTGTGTGTGTGTGTGTGTGTGTGTGTGTATTTTTTTAACACAGTGCTGAGGATTGAACCAAGGTCCTTGAGATGCTAGGCAAGTGCTTTAGCTCAGTAGTGCAGTGTTTACCTAGCATGCGTGTGGCCCTGGGTTTGATTCCTGGCACTGCAAAAACAAAACAAAGTAAATAGGAGTTAATCTGTGTTACTCAAACTGGTCTTGAATTTCTGGTTTCAAGGAAACCTTTTGCCTCAGCCTTCCCAATATCTGGGACTACAGGCACATTTTACCATATCCAGATAATTTTATGCTATATTTTTAGTTCATCTAGTTGCGTTGTTTTGTGGTAGTGAGGATCAAACCCAGAGGTACTCTTCTAGCGAGCTACAACTTTAACCTTTAGCTTTTTATTTTGAGATAAGTTCTTGATAAGTTGCCTGGGCAGGACTTGAATGTGGGGGAAAAATCCACATAAATCTACTTGTAACCATTCATCACCTCTTTATTTAAGGTGAAAGCAATGTGGGTGGCAATTAGATAGCCTAAAGTCAGAGTTCCACAGAATAAAAACAGAATTTTCTGTCCGTCTTTATGGCTTTTTGTCTCTGTGCCTTTTTTGTTCTTGGCGTGCTCTTTTTTTTGGTGCAAGAGATGGAACCCATGTCATGCGATGCTGTGTATACTCTACTCCTGAGCCATAGCCCCAAGTCTTTTCTCTGTTCTTAGCCAGAGCATTCCGTCTCAGCAGTCTCCAGAGCCTGAGATGTGGATTCTTGGCTTTCCCAGGAACACTTACTCTGGGCCTCTGTCCCCCACAGGTAGCTTTGCAGTATGGGGGGGCCTGTTCTCCACCATTGACTGTGGCCTGGTGCGGATGCGGGGCAAGGAGGACCCCTGGAACTCCATCACCAGCGGAGCCCTGACGGGAGCTGTGCTGGCTGCCCGCAGTGAGTGCCCCAGCCCTGGTCCCAGTGTCTGTGCTTTGTTCATTCTTCCCTGAGCTCTGTCCCTCTATTGTTTTCCCCAGGTGGTCCACTGGCCATGGTTGGTTCTGCAATGATGGGGGGCATCCTGCTGGCTCTCATCGAGGGTGTTGGTATCCTTCTCACTCGATATACTGCCCAGCAGTTCCGTAACGGTGAGCAAGCAGTCAGGGGAGGATGGTCAGGGTGAGATGGCAAGGGTCCTGCACGGCCTCTTCCGCTTGTCCTGACCACCTTCTCCCTTCTCCAGCACCCCCATTCCTGGAGGACCCGAGCCAGCTGCCCCCTAAGGAGGGTACCCCAGCCCCAGGCTATTCCAGCTATCAACAGTACCATTGAAGAAATCACCGCCTGACATCATGCCACCGTGGGAGCTGCCCCTCAGTCACCTCCCCGATGATCTACCTCGAAGGGAGGGCTGGCTCCCAGTTAGCCCTGGGACCCTCCAGAGAGGGCCTCTACTTTGCTCCCCTGTCCCAGGGTGGGGGTGGGGCACCCCAGCTGCCCTGACAGATGAGTCCCCTTTTTCTCTCTCAGGGCACCCCAGCCCCACACATGCAACAAACTATCCCAGCTCCTTCAAGTGGCACCCTGATGAGTATTTAAAGGCAGTTGGGAAATGCCTGTGTCTGTACTTCTTGAGTGTCTCCCCCACCCCTCTGAAAAAGGGATAGCACCCTTCCTAGATTCCTAGAAGCCCTAGGACTTAGAGTCCCACAGCGGGTAGCCTCTGACTGGGAAGGAGTGTATAATAAAATGAATCAGGTATATGAGGAAG